AGTGCTCAGGAGTCTGGGCAAACTCTCCTGCAGTTCTTTGCACAGCAAACAGCTGGGCACATCTGCAGGGGTGGGCCCCACAGTCAGTGTGGGGCAGCAGCAATGGGACTGGAGCTGCTCTCACTGGGGAAAAGTAACTTATCAGTGGATAAATACCCAGAGCTGACTGGTTTATTTCAAAACCCCAGAACCCATAGCTTTGTAAAGATCATTATAAAAAGAATCATTTTATCAGTTATGAACAGTGAGTGAAATTCCACAGTGAGTTCCCATGGCAAACTCATCACCTGAGCTTTCCCAATGCAGTCTTTTACATCAGACACTAATTAATATCTAACTGATCTCACCAAGAACAACTGCTCAGTGTGGCCATCAAGTTCAATGCCCTGCCTTCTACATTTCCAGCTCTTCAAGTAGAAAATAGCAGGGTTTAGTGTCTTAGGGTGGAAAATGCAAGATGTGGCTGGGGGGTGTGTATTCTATTTGCCATCTGTTAGAGGTGGGGCAGTTCTGTTCATTGGACAGTTTTCTTTCTCTCTCCCACAACCAATCCTCCCTCCAGGAAATATCTTCTGTCCACGGGCCAGTGAGTGTCACTGCATGGCTGATAAAATTACATCCTCCCATTGGGAGAAGCTCCACCCAGGAGGAGGAGCCAAGCATTCCTGCCTGGACAGAATCGGAGATTTTGGGACACCACAGCAGCCTTTTCCCAACTGCATTGCCAGAGCAGCAGCTTTCTCCTCCACTGCATTCCCAGAGGAAGACCAGACCCATCGAAACCACCACTGGAGCTTCAGAGGAAAACTCCAGCCTTGTGCAGGATCCCTGCTCCAACAGAACCACAGCTGGCACTGCAGGAGGACTGAGCCACCATGGGATGGGACTGTGCCACCACCCTGACCCACAGGGTGTCAGCTCCTGCTCTGACTCTGGCTGTGGGTTTTGTATTAGAGCATTTTATTTTAATTTTCCTAGTAAAGAACTGTTATTCCTATTCCAGTATCTTTGCCTGAGAGCCTTTTAATTTCAAAATTATAACAGTTCAGAGGGAGGGGGTTTACATTTTCCATTCCAAGAGAGGCTCCTGCCTTCCTTAGCAGCCACCTGTCTTTTCAAACCAAGATAGTTTAGCTGATGATTTAGCTGATTTTGTTTGTCACCACTCTCCTTAGACAAGGACCACACCACTCAGAGTGCTGAACAATCTTATGCATTTCCCAACCCTACTCCAGCTGTTATGCAATAAATTGGTAAAGATGCTTAAACAGCTTTAGCAGGCTTGCCTGAAGAGTTAGCAGAGCAGTGGAACAAGGTACATTCATGGATAGCTCTTTGTCACTCTGGGAATTCAGCAACCAATGGCCCAAACAGCTGGAACAGAGCAGTGAAATCATCTAGAACTGAGGATGCCACATGCAACCATTTATTCCAGGAGAGGAGGGGCTGCTTTGGACTCTGGTTAGTCTGGTCCAAGCACTGAACCTCCATTAGCACAGATCCCAGGGATTTCCAGAGGGAATATTGCAATTTAATATAAAGGCACACATAGAAAATAGAGAGCAGATCTGCTCTGACAGCTCAATCCCAATCCTAAATAAAACATTCCCATAAATGCAGTTTGTTGTTGTGCCTGCCTGGAACACTGGATTGTATTTTTAGTGACAGTGACGGTGCATAAAGAGCTAGAAAAAGACCTGCTTTTCATTAGAGCCAAGCAAGCAAGGCAGAGAGGGGCACAGAGCCTCCAGTTTGCCCAGCCCAGGGCTGTGTAAATCCAAACTGACCATGAACATTTTCATTAACAGGCTCAAAACCCCCCAAGTTCTATAAAACATAAACATGTGCTTTTAGCCCTCTGATTTAGACAGATCTCTTAATAAACATATTTTGTACCTCGGATTTATTTGTATCTTGGAGACAGTGGAAAACAATAGCCTAAAAAGAACACAATATTTCATTCTTTCAGGCAATTCTTCTGAACTGAGAAATTACAGCTCAAGGGCCGATTGGGGGGGGGATGCTCAGAATTTGAGAACAAAATAACTTGGATGACACCTAGTGGGAAAATAAGCAATCACTGGTGAAAATATGTATGGGGAAATGGCAGAGGGAGGTTCTCAATGAGAGCAGGAGGGAGGAGAGAGAATTTCTTGATAAAATGGATGGAGTATAATTTAGGAGAAGAATTTCCTAAATGACAAGACTCTATCTGCCTGTGGAATAATCTGAGGAAATGGGATTTTGGATTTGACAGAGGCAAAACTATGTTAGGCAAAACCCCATTAGCAAAACCATGATAAATGTGCAGCAGGAAAAAATGTGGACGGGAGGAAACTCTGAGCCCTCCTAAGTAGAAATACTCAGCAGGCTTTGACAGCCAGTTCTGCAGAGTGGAGTAGGTAAGAGGAAAATTTTGTCCTTCAGACAACAATAGCTCCTGATTTGAAAGAAACCACTGTTTTTCTTTAATTCATTTCTGCCAGCAATATTCCTTGATGTGAGAATGAATTTTGTGATTGTTTTTTTTTTATCCTTCTTCTTGCTTATTTGTAGAATTCATTAATTACCAGTGACTCACATCCAATTACAAAGATCTATTTTGGTTAGTCTGCTCTCACCAACCTATTTGAAAGTACAGAAGAACAGAATTAATCAAGGTGAGAGATTTTAAGTGAGAAGCTGTCCATTGGCAGTGCGAGGTGGGCAGTTTTTTCAGCACTGGGAATGGAAAGAGTGCTTGAGAAATCTTCTGCCTTTCTTGGTCAAGAACAGGTCACTGTCAGCAATAAATGACTGGAACTCCTTAAAAGTGACTAGAAAAGATAATGGCATCTTCTGGCTGAGTTTTCTCTCAGCAGGTCAGGCATTTGATCTGCTCATTTATCTCCAGCTCGCAGCTTTTATTCTGAAGCACGAGGAGAGCAGTAATCTCCCTCAGATCTTTCCTCCCTGAAATGATCACTCACAGCCCCCACAGAACTCACTGCAGGAGTCAAGGCCTCCAAAGGAAGCTGATCCAGAGAAAAGGGCTTTCAGGGGAGAGGTGAGAAGAGAGGGGTTGTTTGGGACATACAACTGTCCAGAAATCCCTCTCCCCTGAGAGGAGACACAGCCTCTCTCATTCACAAAAACTTCAAATGGATTCTCTCTGTGGAAAAAACTTACTTCCATACCCTAACAAGATTATAGCAGATTATAACTATTTTTTTTTTCAAATTGTCTCTTAATAAATCCTCTTAAATGAAGAATCCTCATTTGGCCTACAAAAAGTTACAGCCCTAAAATCAGAAATGCAAATGCCTGGTGCTTCTGGCAACCACTCCCTGCACACCCTGAGCTCCACAGGGAGCGGGTGCACTGGCCAGGGGACAGGGCTGGGGGCTCAGCAGGAGCAGCTGGGCACATCTGCAGCATCTGGGCACATCTGGGCACCTCTGCCACTCCCGGGACAGCTGGAGGAATGCAGGACTAACTGAGCACAGAACGGGAGTGTGGATTCCAGGGATTCCAAATGTTTCCAGTGCAGAAGGACACAGGATTTGATTTCACTGTGTGACAGGAAGGTTTTGATTCCGTGGCAGCATTCCTGGAGGCACAGTGGCACAGACTGTGCAGGCACAGGGCACACAGACATTTATGGAATCCATGGATGTGCTCCCCAAAGGCAGGGAAAGCATCCCGAGGGTGGGAGGACCATTAGCAGTGCACTCACAGCCACCCCACCCCTGACAGGCAGATGAACTGCTCACCTCAGCACCGGAGGAATCATCTCCTCAGCTCACAGAAAAGATCAAAATTCTAACAGGCTTTGAAGTATTTTTGTTTTTTATCCCTGGCACTGTCTGAATTGCCTTTTCAAATGCTAAAGAGCAGAGATACAAAATAAAGCATTTTCTTAAGGAAGTTCCTAACAAAGCTCCAGCTTCTGGTAACTCATTAGACCTAATGAAGAAAAGTTCTTTAAAAATAAGTAAAAATTAGACTACAAGAATTGCTGTCAGGATAATTTATACACCAGAAATTTCCTTTCCTCCCAGGAACAGCCTGTTATAAAGGGACAGCTCAAAACCACAGCTCTGCTGCACATCTGCAACATGAAAACCTCACCTGGGCTTCGTTTCCAAAAGCCAAAGAGAGCTCCAAGCCTGTCCCCAAACCAGCACTACACAGAACTGGCCTGAATGGAGCACCAGACCCACAACCAGCTGGGTTTCCAAATGCCAGCTGCCAGTGGAATTCTTCTGTGTTCACTGCTGGTGACTAAAGCAAAGGAAAACCTACATCCAAAACTTTGCACACCCAACCAAATTCAAAAGTAAATCCTATTTTTGCTTTCCCTTCACACAGACATGGCATTCTGTGTTTAGATGAACGGATACATGTGTATTAAAAACTTGTATGACCCTAATTTACTGGCTTTGCAGCCAAATACAGACGGATATTTCAGAAACCATTGGAGTTATTGTTTTTGAACACAGGTGACCCAAATTAAATACTGTATTTTGGGTGACTTCAACACAATTTCATCTATCTCAATTCAATGGCATTAATATTTCCTTTCTCTGTTCCTGCCTTTCTCTATCCCTTAATGATGTCACCTGCCTATAATGGTTATTTTGATGTTACGGTGTGCTTTTATAAGTTTTACTGAAATGGTGAGAAGGCAGATATTAAACAAATCTGGCTGACTAATATAGAAAAACTCAATTTCACAGGCTAACTTCATCTCCCTCATCTGCTGGGGCTTGTATGTCTCAGCAGCTCAGGCAAAATTAACTTTTATACCTGGATATTTTCTGGGAAAAAAAAAAAAACCACCCACATATTTCAGATGAGTTTTTCCAGATCCTGTCAGATGCAATAGGAAAAATACACTAGGAACAAAACAAAAATCCCAAAGCATTTCCTCTTTTCTGCAGCAAGCACAAGACCCACCCCAAGCACTTTATGCCACAGCACAACCATAAATAGCAGCTCTGGGATGCTGCCCCATCCTGCACAGGAAAAAGCTCATCTCCCCTGCCACACTTCCCTGGGACTCTGAGCACTCAGCCTGCCCTGCAGCCACACTGCAGCCCTTCTGCAGGCACAGGGAAAGGGATCAGGAGGGGCCACACAGGGTAAGTGTCAGCCAAGCACCCCAGCTCTCCCTTCTGCATTTCTGCCACAGTTCTGGTTTCTGTTTGAGTTTGGGTTTCTTGCTGTTTCTGCATTTAATCAGAAGAGATCATCTTTTCCATAAATATCACTTAACTTCTTTTAGCCAGCTGTCATAGTCTGTCCTTCTAAGATGTTTGCTTTGGGGAAAGGAGCTCTGGTAAATTTCTTGAAAAATCATGGATGAGTATCTGGGTTCAGAGCAAAGACACCCAGAATACCCAGTCCTAGATTTCAGTTTATCTTAATGGCTGCAATAGGCTTTAAGGATGAACAAAATAAAATGTAATGTATGTACCAATGTTAAAAATTGGTTAATGAACCATCCCAGCAAAAAAAAAAAAAATTGGGGGTGGGGGAAGTGGATGGAACCACAATACAGAAGGTAAATGATGACTGTCAATAGCAGAGTTAAGTGTTAGAAGAACACGTGGAAAAGAAAGTAAGCAACAGGTGGCACAGGACACAAAGAGGAACCACAGGGTATTTGTCAACTCACTGACAAATACATAGGAGATGGTTAAGATGAGCACTTCAGCTTCAGAAAGAAAGATGATTTTCAGACATTTACAATTATTCAGCCCCTTAAGCTACATTTTGAAAACTGGTTTAAACACAAAATTTTAACGCTAGATCTATGACAATATGGAAGCAGAATAGAAACCATTACCTAAAACTAAACTGGATTTTCCTATCATCTCCTGGTGACACTCTGTCCCAGAAATTTGATCAATATTTTTTTGTACAATTATGAAGGGAAAACAATGAACCAGAGAGGAAAGGGAAGAACTGTACTCTGTCTTCAACGTTTATGCTGAAGATGGGGAGAGTGGTTCTGTAGGACATACAGAAAGCTAAAGATATGTCATAGTTGAGACTGAGACGCTACAAAGCAACACACTGCATTTCCAGAAGTCTTCAAACCCTGTTTTTATTCTAGCATGCATGCTTTTTCTACATTCTTACACAGCTCTTAAGTTTGCACTTTACTCATTGGTCACGAGAGACAAGCTAAATGCTCATTGGAATAGGCAGTTGCAGGTTTCTCTTATTTATCCTTCTTTCTTTCTTGGTTTCTATGTCAACAACCTTGGTAGAAAATTCTTTCAGGGGTAAACATGGATCCTCTTACCAGACTTCTCAATGGCTCACAGAGGTCACTGTAAAACCTCTTCCACAAAGATTTTATTCCAGAAACCTAAACCTGGGTGAGAAATAACTGCTGTGGAACCACACTAATAAACCTCACTTCTTGTTGTTTTTGCTGCAGGAGATGGAGCTGCTGGCCATGCTGGGCTGTGCCCTGCTGCTCCCCACGGTCCCAGGAGAGGATTGTCCAGCCCAGTGCAGCTGCTGGTCCCTGGGGGAGCGCTGGGGGATGGGGGTGGACTGCAGCTCTCGGGGGCTGCACGCCCTGCCCGCCCTGCCTCGCCTGACCCGCAGCCTGCACCTGCACAACAACAGCCTGGCCTCCATCCCTGCTGGAGCCCTGGACAGCCTGGGCCACCTGCAGGAGCTGCAGCTGTGGGACAACCCCTGGCACTGTGACTGTCACATCGTGTACCTGAAGCTCTGGCTGCAGGATTTCTCCGCGCCCGCGCTTGCCCGGCTCAGGTGCGCCAGCCCTGCCCCGCTGAGGATGAAGCCCCTGGAGCAGCTGACTGGGAATGATCTGGGTGTTTGTACCAGGCTTCTCCCAACCAAGAGTCTCCAGTTCTTCTGGCGAGACCTCATTTTAATTGCTGGAGCAGTAATTACCCTCCTTCTAGTGGCGTGGGCTCTGAAGTTCTCCAAAAAGCTGGTCTGCCAGCTCAGCCTCACGAGCCGGCGGCTGAGGAGGAGCATCCCCAAAACCCACAAGGTGCTGTGAGCTCCTCCCTGCCACCAGCCTGGCAGAAACTCCAAACTCCTCCACAACAAAAGAGCACTGGCAGCACTGGTTTGAATAGTCAAAAAGCTCAAAGTCTGGGTCCTCAGGAGAGTTTGATTTAATTTTCATCCAAAAAGAATCTTGGTGAGGTTTGGACAGGCAACTTCCATCCTGCTGCCATCTGCTCATATGAAGAGCAGTTTCCACATTTTTAAAATCATTTAACTTTCCATTTTCCCACTGAATTCTCAGCTCTTATAGAAAGAAGATTTACACCCCTACACTTTTTAATAAATGGAGATGAGCACCAATTGTGTTACTTCAACAACTCCTTTCTCACTCGGGCTCTGTGAGTTTACAACCCATCAGCATCCCTCGGTGTCCCCAGGGGCTTGGTTGGACCATTCCTGTGTGCAGGAAAACTCAGCCCTCTTTTCCTCAGGTTCAGGAGCTTCCTGCCATCAAAACCACCCAGATTACACAGACCAGACACTGAATGCATCCCTGATTGAATACAGTTAAAGATGGACTGGTAATGACAATATAATCAGCAAAATAATTTTAAATCTTATGGAATTTCCTGGAGGGTGAACAATAATAAAGCATTCTATGTGGAACTGAAATAATGGATGTTTATGGAACATTCCTATTGACCCAAATTTGATCTCTTTCACAATTCTAAACATTTCTGATTCAATTTCTAAGATATTTCCAGAACTTGTCCTGTGGAGATCATTTTAGAATATTTTCCCTGCACTGATCTTTTCAATGTTTTAAAAGACAACCACCATTCTGTACAAATGCAGAATATTACAGAAGAAATGGACTCTGCCATCTCTCATGGAATTTCCTACATGATGTTTTGTGTTTCCTCAAAATGAAATAAATCATTCACAGTAAAAGCTTATCATTCTCTTCTGTGCCTATAAACTGGATATGCATAGAATAGAGAACTGCTTTACTACATGGCTTCAGTAGTACAAATATTTTTAAAATTAGCAATTAGTGAACATTCTGCTTGCACCAACCAACACATCAAATAAGATGTACAGAATACACAGGATGCACAGGAAAAAAATAATTGAGAGAACTTTTCTGTCCTTATAAGAGGAAAGAGGAGGGAATCTCTTCCATGGCAGTAGTTCACATTCTACCAAAACAGCCTTGTATCTATAACTTTTCATCCATTTGGGGTTTATCTGGGAAAAAACCCTCTGCAAAGGGGACAGCTGGAACTAAGTGAGGGTCAAAAGCAACACTCAGTGTTTATCTGGCAGGGCCACTGTGTCATGCTTAGCCACACGCTCCACCAAACTGCTTAAATAACACCACAGCTGCTAACAGCGTGCAAAGGCAGGAAAATATGTCAGCTATCAAAGTGAAACACACAGGCAGCACTCCCAAAATGGGTTTGGAACAGCCCAGAAACTGTCACTCCATCCTGCCTGCAAGGGGCAAACTGGTGGCTGTATCTGCTTGCACAGTCTGGGAACACAGGTGTGACTGCTGGGATGAAAATAAAATTTAAAAAAAAATTAAAATAAAATAAAATAAAATAAAATAAAATAAAATAAAATATAAAATATAAAATAAAATAAAATAAAATAAAATAAAATAAAATAAAATAAAATAAAATAAAATAAAATAAAATAAAATAAAATTTAAAAAATAGGTTTGCTTCCACGGTGGGCAGGACAAGTCATCAGAGTCAGCATTATTGACCAAAACCTCACTGCAGCACACAGAGAGGGTTTGTGTGAACAGCAATTCTGGGTGAACAGCAATTCTGTGTAGACTGAAATCAAATTAATGTAAGGAATATTTGCAGGTTTCATTTATTAAATAGCACTGTATGCGAATCCCCTTTTTGCCTATAAATTCTCTTTAATTTTTGTTAACACTGGGGCAAACAGCATTGCTCAAGCTGACCTATTCAGCTTCCTGCTTGCCTTCTGCCAGGCTTTAGTTAGAGTTTATTCCAGGTTTCAGCTCATGCACCAGGGCAGTCTGCAAGGCTCCATCATCACAAAATGCTGCTCTCCTTTGTGCTACAGGACCACCATCCTGACAGAACATGATTATTAGGATTAATATGATTATTAATGTGCTAACAGCCAGCTCTGGAGCTCCCTGGAACACAAGGCAGCTCATTCCCTAAGAACCCCCCTGCCTCAGCTCTGAGCAGGCTGAATAAAACAGCCCAGCTCTGCCCCATGGAATAAAAGTGACTCTTCCCCATGGAATAAAACAGCCCAGCTCTGCCCCATGGAATAAAAGTGGCTCTGCCTTGTGGAGCCCAACTCTCTGGCTTTGCAGCACTGGTGTTGCTCCTCTGGGTGCAGCCACTCTGGGGCCGACTGCTGAAGTCAGCTACAAATACTCTTTTCTGCACCAGAACGGAAAGAATTGAAGCACTTCTGCTTGTTTATAAGACAGAAGGGTTTCCAAATCCAGAAAGAAAGCCACAGCACCATTGCCCTGGGCAGCGGCAGCAGCTGCTGGGGCCTCTGGAGCTCCTGGGAAAGCAGAGCAGGAGCTGGGGAGGAGCTGCCCAAAAGGTGCCAAGGGTGGAGCTGAGCAAGTGGGAAAAACAGTGGCACTTGATATGCCTGCTTTTCTAATATATTTTTAATTTTTATTTTGTTTTTATTTTTAATGGAAAATGTCTTCCTCCTGCCTGCACAGGGCAGTGGCAGCTGCCAGCAGCTCCAATCCAAGTGCCACTGCCAGGGAGGGCTGGGCACCTGGACAGGGCAGGAGATGGCATGGCTTGGGGAATGGAGCCAGCTCGAGCCCTCCTGCCCCGGCAGGAACACCTGCTTGCAAGAGAGGAGCAAAGTGCACGCCTGTGATATAAGTTATTTTAGAAGAGATGCTTATTCAGAGTAAATTTTCACTAAAATGTACCTGCCACTGGTGTGGAGTCACTGAATTTGCATGATTTCTGCCCCGTCCCATGCTCTAAGGATGTTGGTATTTTAGGAACATACATTTCTCATGGGTTTCAAATCCCACCTCCTGCAGGTTAAGATTAAATGATGAATGAGATCCAAGTGCACTTGACAGCTTTTCTTTTTCAGGAAGAAATCTTAAACCAGCTTTTTGTTTCACCCATGCTTTGAGAATCAGCCCAGCCTTTCCCAGCAGCTCTGGGCAGCTCCGTGAGGTGGATAGGTGGCATTTTTCTGTTCTGACACTCTTCTCTTACATGTGAGTGACTGTAGGAAGTAGGTTTGAATTTACACATCTCCACGGGCTCACACTCATATCTAACCTGAGAGGATTTTGCCTGTAAACCTGTCCTAAGGTTCACTCAGCAGCCTAGGTAAAATCAATTCACACTAAATTCATACTAGAGACCAAGCACAACTTTGCTCTCAGGAACAAAATACATTGCAAAGTTAACCAGCTTGTTCTGTATTTATCATTTGGTTAAGTGGCTGTGAATTTAAGGATTCAGATTTAGTGCTCCCATTCAAAGAATTTAACTACACAGAAAATGAGTACTACAAAGTAAAATATTTCTTTCTGTTCAGTTAAACCCCAGCTAAGTCATAAGAGAGATGTCACATAATGACTGTAATTTTCCATTTTATTTGCACACCTGCTTGCACTGACCAGATATGGAACTGCATTAAAAACTACTAGAATAACTTGTCCAATAAAAAGAGAAAAACTCACCCAAGAAAAAGTTTCAAACAGCAGAAAACCAAGACTATTCCTAGCCTAATAGGACAAGAAAACATAGGGATTTCCTCAGGTGAACAGGAAATTTCTTCTATTTTTGAGCTAGAAAACATCAACTGTAGAACTAAAGGCTAATTCAATGTACAAAAGACATGCCAAAGTGCAGTGAAACAGGCTCTTGGCTGGTGTGTGCTGCCATTCTTGTATTCTAAATTAATTAGCCAATACACATTCATTCTCACACTGATTTATGTTTAAATGCACTGTTTGGGGAATTATTAAAATTGAATTTGAGGCTTCACAAAACTGCTATTCTTCCTGGAATCTTAAGGCCCACACACTTGCATGTTATGATTTACACCTGAATTACAGGATTTTAGTTTCACTGCCAACAGATGAAATATTAACAATTCCTACCTAATGACTCCTTTGATGGTGCTAAGTTTACTGTAATGCTTAGCAATGCTAAGTTTATTTATCTTAATGCCTTTTCTCTCCAGAGCACTAAACCATTTCCCAGAGTGCTGCGGCCCTATTGCTGGAACCCACATAAATATTTTGCCATTAGACTGACTCCACTGAAATTCAGATTGCACTCAATAATGGGTGTGTGACAACAAATTGCTCCAGTTGTATAATGGCCACATGGCTGCTATTTATACAGAGCTCCTTCCCAGGGAGACTTGGCTCCTGACGTGGCCTCTCCAGTGCCTTCCCCGGCAGCACTTCCCAGTGTTCATCCCAGTGATGTCACAGCTACTGCCTGACCTGGCATCTTCATTTTAGCCAAAAGAAATGTTAGAGTTTAGAATTTTGCTCAGACTTCATTTGGCTTGGCTTGTCTGACCAGCAAGCATGCAGTTCTCTAGCAGTCCAAAGTTATTAAAGTTGAATGGTGCTGTTCTGCATCAAGACATTCCCTGGGAAAGGTGGACTGAAACCTCTTCCCTCAGAATACTATAAAGGAATAGGTCTACAGAAATACAGAGCATTCATCTTAGTCCAAGGAGAAAAAATTCAAATGAGGTCCTTTCTTAAATGACCTTGATCTCTAGGGAAGGAAGTGTCAGCAGGGATGAATTGCAGCCTTCCTTTTCTCCTTGAATCATCTGTCTTGTCTCCTCTTGAGGGGTCAAAAGGGTTTTACCTCTTAACTAATAATTTATTTTTTGACAAGGATTCATAGATTGCCTCTTATGGCCATGGAGAAGGACTCTGGAACCTGACACATCCAAATAAAATCGACCTTTGCAACCCTCTCCCATCAGCAGCAGTGCAAAGCAGAGGAAGGTCTGGCAATGGCCACACCACCAAAGGCTGCCCTCAAAACAGCAGAGCATTCAGAACTAGGGTATTCTTGATTTCCCTGAGTTTGCAAGGACACTGCAAAACCCAGTAATGTAACGTTCAGGTGCACTTATCAAAAGCTGGATTAGGGAAAGACAAAAACTAAACCAGCAGCAATTACAGCCTGAGAGGGCAGTGCGGCTGGACAGTGCCCAGGCAGAAAGGGACCGGGCAATGAAAGGACACAAACTCTGCACAGCAAAAACTCAGAGCCCCGAAGGGATTCCTTTGCCTCCCATCACTGCTTTGTCCGACTCTCTGAAACTGGACCAACATTGGCACCTAGTGGCCGCTGAATTCCATAGGGACAGAAGTTCCTCGGAATTTGTCACCCTTTCCAAGAAATGGGCTGAGAGTTTCCAAACAAGCTGCCAATTACTGCCAGCTCTTCCCAGAGTTTCCATACAAGTTTTCTGTCCTGAAGTGTCAGCAGGTGCAAGACACAAATTGTTTTCGACTGGCAGAAGCCTGGAGTTATTATAATTCTGATCACTGGGCAATACAATCTCCATTTGTTTTCTTCACTGTAATTAATCATTTTTAGACATGCCTGGAATTTTCTGCTACTACAATTCCCAAAGTCACAGCTCAATATTATATTGAAACTTGACTGAGGTTTTATTCCTTCTGTTCTCCTAAAGTGATGATGAACTTTTATGTAAATTCAAATTAAACTAATAACTTTGTACTATGACTTCATCCTATCAAAGCCTGATAAAACAAAAAAGGAAAAAAATGTATATTAAATAAAACAAAATAATGAAATTAAATCCTTTTGTGGGTCTTTTTCCCTACCAATCCCCTACCTAACTGATATGCAGCATCATAATTTTTAAAGGCCCAAATATTTTAAAACGTGAGCTCC